CTCTGAGAAGCTGAGGTAGAAGGATTGCAAATTCAAGCCCAGCCTGGGCAATTTACGGACTTGGGGAGATTTTGTCTCAAGTTCAGCGCCAAAGTCCTGGTTCACTTCCTGGTGTGGGTGGTGGGGTGGGGTGGGGAGGAATATTTCAGAGTGGCAGGAATGAATGCAAACTAAACTAACCATAAAACGGGCTCAGTTACACGATCCTAACTGAACTCCTAATAAGCACTGTACCTCAGTCACCCATATTACATTATGTTTTATAAAATATAACACGTTCTATTACACAGTTACACATTCTCGTGCGGTTCCTGTGATATTTCACCTCATGCATACAGCAAGTCTTAGGCAAACCCGGCCTCTTGCCTGGCTGATTTTCTAAAGATATACTCCTCTGCCTCAGAGCTAGGGTGGGGAAACTATGGGCCCTGATCCAGAACCTCCCTGCCACCTATGAGCTCAGAATGGTTTTTATATTTTTAAATGGGGGGGCTGTTTTGTGAAAATATTAAATGTAAAAATGAAATGAATTTCAGATTTTGGGGTTCTTAAATAAAATTTTCATTGGAACACAGCTGTTTGTTGTCATATCCTGTATGGCTTTTTCATTCTACATGGCCTATCTGAGCAGTTGTACTAGAGGTTGTATGGCCATGAGGCCAAAATATTTAACATCTGAGCCTTAGGAGAAAAATTTGGCTCAGACCTGGTCAGAAATGAATCCTGCTGCTGGGGCGGGAGTTCGGGGGAGGACATTTGCAGAGCAGGCCCAGCACGGTCCCTCCATGGCGGTGAACAGACTTGGATACTTCCACATCTTCGGGATGGGGGCTTCCAGCAAGGAGACCTGTGAAGATGTGGCCACCGTGGCGGGGTCCACAGACAGCACGTGCCCCTCACCTACCGACCCATTTATTTTCAGGTTCAGTTTTTTTACCCCCAGCTTCTTTTGCTTAATACTTTTCTGTGAAATTATTATGCCTGAACACTTCTCCAAATAGTACAATAAAAGTATTTTTCAAATCACTTTCCCACGTTAGACACTTAACATTTTTCTCCGCTTTGTTTTTTCCCATTGTATCCATTGGATTTGGGGGGAATAAATTGAGTATTTTAAATGTGCATTTCATTTTTAAAGATTAAATTATACATTGTGGATGTTTTATTTGTGTCTCTGTACAGTTTCATGGCTATTTTGAACAACAGGTTTATGGTTAGACATTTGGATTCTTGAATAGATCACACTATACCTTCTGTCTTCTTTCTACATACATTCCTGGAAGTGTATTGAGTCAAAGGAGATGAATACTTTGGATGGTGGGAGAATGTTTGACGTAATGTACATGACACAAAGTTTCTTTCCACATGGGCTATACAGATGAGGGCATATCTGATAAATCTCCCTCACTTAACACATTATTTTGATGGATTCTAATCTGCAAGGCAAAAATGTTATTTTCTATTTCATTGATTTGATCATTACTGAATATATTGAATATATTTATTTTTCCGTGAATTGCCTATTCATGCACTTTGGCTATTTTATTGCTGTTATTGTTTTGGGAATAAGTATCATTTTTATTTTTACAAGTTTTTTTTTTTCTTTTTTCTTTCTTTCTTTTTTTTTTTTTTTTGGTACTGAGGATTGAACTTGGGTCGTTGCGCTTGCAAGGCAGGCCACTGAACCACTGAGCTAAATTCCTGGCCCCAATTTTTACAAGTTTCTATATTAGAGACATTGATTTGTTTGCATGTATCTGTTGCAGGTATCTAACCTGATTTTGCCTTTACTTTTCACATAATGAAGTATTAAAGGCCTGAGTAACCATTGTACTAACTTTTTTGCTCTATTATTTTTATTCATCATTATTTTGAAGTACATTTTTGTCTTGAAATTTCTTTTTAGTGTAAGGATTAGTCAAATTTATATTTGTGTGCTATATGATGTTATTGTTATATTTAGTCCATTTAGAATTTATTTCAGTATGAGGTAAATACCAGCAGACTCTTCCCCATATATCTTACCAATTTTTCTAGCAATTCATGTAGATAAGCTCACATTCCTCCTTGGTTTCCTTTGCAATATCCTAAAAACTCTAGTTTCACTAAGATCTTCTTCAAGTCCTCCTGTCTTTGGTTCAATCACTGTGCCTGCCAGTTCTCTTTTAGAACATGCCGTTTTAATTGTTTAGTTTGAAACACTTCCCACAATGAGTTTTCCTCCCATCCCATCGGTTCAGATTGTTTTGGGTCAGAGAGAAGATGACAGTTAAGTAATAGGATTAGTGGTTTCTTAATCCCTTCTTTAATTAAGGTAATATATACATGTTATCCTAACAATTTTTTTACTGTTACTTGAAGATGTGTGTTCTGCCTATTCATCTAATAGTTATATCAACTTATCTGAAGAGACATTTTAAAAGGCAACGCTAAAGCACAGTTCTATTTCCAGCTTACTAATGGCGTACAGGCCTTGATAACTAGCTGATTTTAGCTGTACCATTTTTTGCTGGCTTTTAAAAAGATTTATAAGTTGATAAAGCTTGACAAAAACGTTGTTTGAGGAATACAAATTTACTCTCCAGTGAGTTGCTTTGTGAAACATTTTCTACTTGCCTGTTCCCTCCATGGGTCAAATAGGTAGAATGGCCTTACCAGTTACACTTCTGCATATTTGTATCTCATGCATACTATTTGATTCATTATTTCTTGCAACAAACATGTAGAGTATCTCACTGTCAACAGGCGCCCGTGTTGCAAGTGCTGGAGATTCAGGGCAAGATGAGATTCATTTGCTCGGTAAATGTATCAGCGAAAGTGTACAGTGTAGCATAAAGTGGAGATGATTGCTCAGAAGCAAAGCAGAGTGGGATGAAGAGAAAGTGGATGGCAGAAGGAGGGTGATGCTCTTTATGTAGCAGGTCTGGAAGGCCTGGGTGATTAGGTGAGTGGTCTGTGTAAAGACTTGAATGACATGAGGCCGCAAGTTATACTCAAGTGTGAGGGAAAAGCCTTCCAGGGAGAAAGGGCAGAAAGTGCAAAGTCCTAACATGCTGGTGAATTCTAGAACCATCCAAGGGCCCAGTATGTGGAGGGCAGGGAGGGAGGAAATGCCAGGGAGCAGTGGGAGATCAGATAGGGCTGGGGGACAGGATGACATTCAAGAGTGGGGCTTTATTGGCTGTAGTAGAAGCCAGTGGAAGATTCTGAGCAGGAGACAGTCACGATTTGGTGTCCTTTAACAGCACATCTTTTCCTGCCGGATACAAAGTGCAAAGACTGGAAGGGAGGCAGAGTTGGAGGTGGGGTGAGGGCAGGGAGCTCGCTGCATTGGAGACGTCAGAGGAGGTGCTGACGGTCAGTGGGATGACACCGGAGTCTGGAGCTCAGAGTGGAGTGTGGAATCGGCCATCATCAGCTCAGTGCTGATCTTTAGGAGGTCCTCGGGCAGCACCCCCACAAGTAGGCAGACGTGTTTCAGTGAGGAGGGGAGGACCCGCTAGTGTAAGGCGCCAAGTGACTCAGAACCTGAGGACTGACCTCAATCAGCTTGGTAGTGTGATGAAATTGTGTACTTTCCTTCTGACCTGACCTGCAATGTGAATTATCTGTCCGGTGAACTCACTGTGTTCGCTACCTGCCCCATGGCAGTTGAGAACAACCCAGCAGTCACATTCACATAACTTTGATTAGAGTACATTGTCATAATTGCTTCACCGTTCTTTCCACCCTGCCCCTTCTTCCTCCCCCTCCCCCTGCCCCTACCTCATCCTCCTTTTGTAGCACTAGAGATGGGACGTACTGGTCAAACATTCTGCCACTGAGCTGTACCCCAAGGCTGCTCATCAAGGTCAGTCCTTCTGTTCGGAGTCACTCAGCGCCTGCCTTTCACAAAGCGGGTCCTCTCCTCACTGAAACATGTCCCCCCACCCCCAGCACCACCTTCTTACTGTCCTCCTCTACCTGACTGAGCGGACTGCTCCTCTTTTCAGCCCACACTGCCTGCTTGTGGGGGTGGGGCTGCCTGATGACCTCAAAAGATGTCATTGCCCTAGGGATAACATCTATGGCCTTATACAGCCCTTCTCTACTTATTTATAAGTGATAATGTCTTACTGCTATTAAGTTATAAATTAAACTATCACAGCTATACATATGTAGGAAAAACATGGTATATATGGAGTGACACTATCTGCACTTGTAGGTGTGGGCATGGACCTTGAAATGCACTGCCCCTCACATGAGGGGGACTATTGTACATATTCTGCCCCACAGTTAGTACACAAGTTGTTTTCGTGATTCCAGTTGTTTCATTCTCTGTCCTGGGCACAGGACTGCTGCTGACATGAAAGGCACTTATGGGAAAAGAACCAAGTCCCTTTCCTGTGTGCAGCTCAAGCCCCATGTCTGTGCACCTGTTCTGGAGAACAGACAGTGGACTGGCATCATTCTCAAATGCAGGGCCTGGCTGGGGTATTGCTCCTCAAAGGAAACCCAGCCTGGGAGATGAAAATCTCACCCTCCTTGGTGAACTCTGTCATGGGGTTGGAATTCTCGTGCCATTTACTCTTTCCATGTCTTTGTCCTCCTGCTTCCCTGTAAGGGTGGGGTTGCACATTGAGCTTCTAACCGGAAGGCTGCATAGGAGAAAGAACCACCACATGCACTGTAAAGTCCTTGGGACCATGTGGACGTTTCTAAGCCCTTCAGATTCCAAGAGATCAGTTAGGTTCACCAAAAGGAATAAGAGGACAAAAGAACCCAGGCCTGAAGAAGCTCGTGGGGCTGGCTTGGCGGCATCAGAGTGGGTCGAGGAGGCAGAGAAGAAGATGACAAAGCAGACTCATTAGGGAAGGCGAGAAGGGAGGGAGGAAGAGCCAAATCCTGTGCTTCCCCAGTAGCCCTGGGTCGCTTGGTTGTTCAGATCATCGTGAGAGCCAGTGAGACCTGGGAAGTAGCAGAGCACTACAATGACCGCTTCGTGTCTCTCCCGTCTCTAGGTAAAAGCCTCTGATGCAGATGCGGGGCCCTTTGGCTTTGTTGAGTATTCGCTTTACGATGGATTCCAGAGCGATGAGGCACCTCCAGCGTTCCAGATCAACCCACGCGATGGGCAGATCTGTGTGTCCCAAGACCTTGACCGTGAGAGGGACCCAGCCAGCTTTGATCTCCTGGTGACAGCTAAGGATGGGGTAAGTCTTTAGGTCCGATATCGCAAACGTCCTCAAGAGTGAGCCACAGTGTCCACATCAGAGTATCACTGATTATCAACAATCGCCTAATCGCTAATTGGGTTTTCTCTCCCTTTTCCTTTTGAGATGAAATCTCGCTGTTTAGTCCAGGCTGGTGTCACACTCACCACGTAGCCCAGGCTGACCTGAGATTCACAATCCTCCTGCCTCAGCCTTCTGAGTGCTGGGATTACAGGTGTGTGCCACCACACCCAGCTCACCTCACCTCTGGCTATTGCTGGAGGTTTTTGAAGCAAACTCCAAAGATTCTATCATTTTATCTATCAGTGAATAATATCTCTAAGAGATGACTTTACAAAAACCTAACTACAATACATCACTGTTTCTGATGACATTAATACTCATTCCATGCTAATTTTTCTGCTTTATTTATGCATAGCTTTTAAATTGGTTTGTTTGAATCTGTGTCCAGGTAAGTTTGCAAACTGATTGGATTGCTGGAGCCTTTAAATTCCATGTGTAACAACCAGTCTTTCCCTTATCTTCTATGGTATTTAAAAAAAAAGAAATCAGATCATTTGTCCTGTACATTTTCCACATGCTGAATATGGCCTGTTCCATCCACTCTTGGAATGCATTTAATTTGTTTTTTTTATCAGCCCTGTTTCCTATAAACTGGCATTTAGGGTTGGAAGCCTGGTTAGTGTCAGATTCATTTAGGCTATGCTGTGTGCTTCTTAATGTATCAGCAGACACACACCATTATTTCTTTACAGGGGTGATTTTCCAATTCTTTTACTCGTTTTGCATTTACTATCTGGAACACTTAAACTGAAAGTGTTCTTGCATCAGTTGTTTTATTACCCTAGAATATAATTCATGCAGGAAAGGCGGGTTAATGTTTGTATCTCTTGTTTTTTTGGTACCAGAGATTGAACTCGGGTCCTTGCACTGGCAAGGCAGGACACTGAACCACTAAGCTAAATCCCCAGCCAATGTTTGTATCCCTTTATTTTACCAGTTTTTAGAATACCACACTAGTCCCTTAATATCCTCAAAGGTGACCAATGCATTTTTTTCCTGTATGATTATCACTTTCTAGATTTTGTATAACTGATCTGTGTCAGTGCACTGCTGATCTTATCCTTCTGATATTTACGTTAACCCAACTTTAATTAGTCAGGGTACCTTCAAACTTATTCCCGGTTCTTCTTTATCAGTTTATGCATTGACACATAAAATGCAAACAGAAAAGTAAACAAATCATAATTTTATTGTTCCATGGATTTCTGTGAAATGAATGCACTCAGGGAAAGAGATGAAGAAATAAAACTAGCACCCAAAGCCCCTTTGTTGCCCTTTTGCTGTAATTTTCTTCCCAGCTTCTCCCTACCCATGTCCTTTAAGTTCACTATGGGCTTCTAACCACCAAATATTGGTGTGCTTATTTCTTAGCTTTTAGTGAATGGAATCATATACATGTGTTTCTGTTTAGTTTCTCTTGCTGGACAATATTTGTGAGTCACTTTTGCTGTTATATATAGCAGTGAGTCATGCATTCTCATGGGTTTACAGAATGCCCTTACATGAATATATGATAATTTTCCATCCATCCTCTAATTGATCCATTTAGGTTATTACAAATAGTGCTACTAACATATTTTTTAATATTAAGCTTATTTTTAACTGACGCATGAAAACATCAAAACTGTCCCTGTAAATGGAATAAAATGTGCTGTTTTGATACCAGTATACATTGTGCATTGTTTAAATCAGGCTAAACGTGTCTGTCTCCTCATTTATCATCTATGGTAAAAACAGTGCTTTGAGATGCTCAGTATCTGAGTGTTGTCTGTCGTAGCTCCGCTGTGCTTTCTCCCTCCTGGCTCACTGTCACTTCCCTGCGGTCAGCTTCCCCATCGCACCTCTGCCCTGTCTCCAGTATCCACCATCCTGTTTTCAGTTTCTATGAGATCATCCTTTTTGGATTCCACATTTGCATGAGATCATAATGTACTTGCTTGTCTTCCGTACCTGGCTTATTTCACTTGACAAAAAGATCTGCAATTCCATCCATGTTGTTGCAGATGACAGAATTTCATTCCTTTTCTAAACGAATACTACTTCATTGTTTATACGTACGTGCCTCGTATTCTCAGCCAATTATCAGTGGATGGACCCTCGAGTTGCTCTAATTTCTTGGCTGTTCTGAACAGTGTAGCATTGAGTGTGGGAGTGCAGGTGTCCCTTTGATAGGCTGATTCCATTTCCTTTGGATATAAACCAATAGTGGGATTGCTGAACCGTGTTGTAGTTCCATTTTTAACTTTTTGAAGACCTTCCATAGCGTTTTGCCATGATGGACATATACAGCTTGACCCACAAGTTACCTTTAGTTTTTTGTTGTTGTTGTACCTATTCTTGCTTTGGTGAGATGCTATCTTACTTTGCATTTTCTTAATAATTAGTGATGTTGATCATTTTTCATATATCTGTTGGACATTTGTGTACTTTTTCTGAGATATGTCTATTTAAGGCTGTTGCCTCCTTTTTACAAAAATCAGGTTGTTTTTCATCGTTTGTTTTTGCAGTTGAAATTTGAAGATTATTTATATGTTCTACATATCAACCCCTTATCAGATGCGTACTTTGGAAATATTTTCCTCCATTCTCTGAACTGTGTTTGTACTCTGTTAATGGTTTCCTTTGTTGTGCCGAAGCTTTTTAAAGTCAGATATAATCCCATTTGGATATTAACATTCTTAGGTTTTTGATTTAGATAATAAATATAAACATTTCTGTTGACCATATATATTCAGGAGTGGAATAGCTAGGTCATAAGAAACCCAAACAACTTTTCAGTGTGGTTTACCACACTATACTCCCATTAATAGAATATGAAAGTTGCATTTGCTCTACCTTTTCCCCAATAATTAATAATTAATATCTTGTAATTATGGCCACTCTAATATGAATTACTTTGAGGGTTTACTGTGAATTTTCTTGATGAATAATGAATTGAGCATTTTGTCATGGAGTTGTTGGCTATTTATGCAACTTGTGTTGGAACGTGCCCATTCGTCACCTGCTTTCCATTGTTTCGGTGTTTCCCTCGTTCTGTATGGATTCTTTTTATATTTAGCACATGAGTCCTTCGTTGGATACACTTATTGCATATTTTCTCCCATTGTATGTGTTGCCATTTCTTGTCCTTAATGGTGACTTTTGAAGAACAAGAGTTCTTCATTCTAATATAGCTGAGTTTATTAATTTGTTGCCCCAGAGAGCTCATGTTTTTTCTGTCCTTTTAGCAAGCATTTGCTTGTGTTAGGGACATGAAGGTGTTCTCTTCTGTTTTCATTGTTTGCTTGACTCACTGGTTATCTTCACACATTTTCCGATCTGGTTTTTCAGCCTAGTCCGAGGAAGTCTTATTACCTTCCTTCAAATATTCAGTTAACTCAGCAACATTTGTTGAAAATCATTCTTTCTTCAGTGCCCTGGGCTGTCTCTACTGTCACAAGTCATATGACTGTGCATGAGTGTGTGCAGCATAGCCTCTTAATTGTTTTGCCTTTATAAAGGGTTTGTGTATTCTTGCTTTGTCATTATCAAGATTGATGATGATTCCTGCCCATTTACCTTCCTAAATGCATTTTGGAAACATCTCATTCAGTTATGCATTATTAGAAAGGAACCCTCATATACACATTCTACACTTTGATTTTTTTCTCCACTATATCTTGAAGGCTTTACTTGTTTCTTTCAGTTACTGTAGAGCTTCACTGAATGGAGACTTTTCATGTTTCTTGTTTATCTGCTTGCTGCTCCTTTGTATAGATACAAACTGCTAACACTTCTCTGGTCTAATCTTTGTGTCTTGAAATTGACTTGAATTGAGCTGACATGAAGTATTAGGTCAAACAACCCAAATAACATTTATAACAAGTAAACATACAAATATGAACATGAAAACAAAATTATTTATATTCAGGAAAGTACTCATGATCTATTTGGTTAGATTTTTGTCAATACTTTACTATTTAGTTTCAGTATCTAATTCCGTGTAAGAAAACATGCCAAAGACAAAAGCAGGGGTAAACAGGAGTTTAAATTAATTCAAGTCCTATATAATTATTTACATAGCCAGTATATGCACACACAAATATTAATCCAAGGCTTTGAAATATATTGTTAATAGATTTTGAGACCATTGTAAATGGCCATCGTAGAATGGAATAACCAGATTAAATCCAATACTACAGTAACCAAACATCTTTTTCTAATTAGTGGGTTTCAGATGGTCTTATGATTGTGGGTATAAGAAATGATCTCTATACACATAAGATAATTTGGTGAATGAATGCTTAACTCTCCTGCTCAAAGTAGTGCATTTACTAGAAGGATTGGTAGTGGAATAGAAAATCAGCTTCTGTTTCCACGTTGAACCTACTCTAGACCTGCACTGGGAAGAACAGAGTCCCTGCTGGATCACCCAAATGTGTCTTTCGCCCTCCCACACCCTCCAGAAAGCACATCAGCCTGAACAAAGGTAGTGTGTTCTGTATTCTTTGCCAGTTCAGTATCTTAGTGATGTCTAAGGAAGTTGACCCGACACACTGGGCAACCTTTGCTAATTTCTAGAAATCAAAGAAGAGACAATTTCAAGGTTGATTATGTTTGATTAATCAGAACTTCTCCTGTAAAAACTATGTTTTACATTCTCCAAATGAGCACAGAATATCTGTTTAATTAAAATGGAAACATTCTTCCTGTAGGTTTTTATACTCAAATTCTCATTCTTTTTTTTTTTTGGTGATACTGGGGATTGAACCCACAGCCTCAGGCCTGATCTAAATCCCAGGGCCACTTGCCCTGCTCTCAATCTTTTTAATTCTTTTCTTTGTTTTAACATAGGGTCTTTCTAAGTCACTAAGTTGCCCAGGCGGGCCCACGCTTGTGTTCTCCTGCATCAGCCATTCCAAGTATGTGCCACCACA